AGCAGCCAACACAGCCATTCACCCACTTCTCCCCCACCCCCAGGGAATAGGGAAGAGGATTGGGGGCAAGGATTAGGAGGCTTGTAGATTGAGATAAAAACAGATTAATAATAGAAATAAAAGAAAACTTAAAAAAAAACACCCTAAACAACTAATATTAAAATAGTAGTGATAATGATGATAACAGTAATAAGATATGCAAATAAGTGATAACCCAGTGCAACTGCTCACCACCCACTAATAAGCCCAGTCCGTTCCCAGATAATGATCCCAGAGGAGCAACAATCCCGAACCGAAACCATAATCCCGGAAGACCGAGAACCCGAGAGCAAAACCCGTGTGAACCCACCCCCCTTCCAGTCAGCCCCGGACAATACACTAAACATGACGGGATATGATATGGAATATCTCACTGGCACATCCAAATGCCAGTTTTGGGCTTTGCTATTCACTGCGCTTCTCCCTCCCAGTCCTAGTGCAGCTGTGAACCAGCCAAACATGATGGCCTTGAGCTCCAGCAGCAACTAATACTAGTACTTTTATCAATGATGTTCTCATAGCAAGTCTGACCTGAAACCAAAACACGGCTCCTCTAACTACTGAGAAGAAAATTAACTCTATCCTAGCAAAACCAGGACAATCCACCACTAAACCATGTCTCTAGGCACCACATCTACACGTCTCAAATACCTCCAGGGATGGCGACGCAGTTCCCTGGGCAGCCTGTTCCATGGATCTTTGTATCTTTACAGGAGCTTCACATAGCACGTGCCTTCACTATACCTGCTGTTGTGCTTAGTGATACGGAATCTCTGCTTCCAACAGAGTGGGCTTCTGCTCTGGCAAGACCTTAAAAAAAGATGGCTCTTCAGGTATTTATGATACTGAGGTAAACTGACAGATCTCTTCCATCGTACTAAACAATGTTTCAAAATATGGGTCAAACTTCGCCATGTTCAGCCATTAACATTTGGATGTAGGTGCTTTACAGCACTGTTGCAGGGCAGCCATTCATCAGACGCTTCACAGGTTCCCCTACACCACCAGAGAAGTTGTTTGCTCTCCTTAATCCTTGCCTTAGATATCACACCCACCCACCTTTCTTCACTTGCTTCAGTTTCTGCTTCTGCTCCACCACCTTTGCTAACTCCCAAAGGCAACTATTCTTACACCTATAATTGCATTCAGAGATGTCTTGGGCAACAGAACAAGCATCAGGCTTTTGCCACCCACATCATTTGCACAGTTTAATTAAGGGAAAGGGAAGAGGTGGTGAAGCTTTAGGAGCCAAGAAAAAAAACGGCAGTGCTGGCTGCTTTAAAATATGTAGAGCCTCTCTCCTTCTGTAATCCCATCTCCAAAATTCTTATTTTGTCCCCTCATTACCACTCAGTGTCTGCCACTTCCCACACTGCTCACAGCACTAGCAAAATAAGTTTTCTCTTTTAATAAATTTTCTGATATATTTAATGTTCTAGAAGAGCAGGATCAGTAACTCAGTGTATCATCTTTATGTCACTACCACTACCATAGGAAGTCTCAGTTGGCTTTTCTAAGCAGCAAGAGTAATTGGGACTTTCCTCCCTCCCCCATTCAGAAAAAGTTGCCTGAGGCAGCTCTTATTCTGGGGACAGAGATGGGGAAGGAGGAGCAGGAGCAAAGATTCACACCAAAAAGACAAAACAGTGTCAGCTGCAGCTACTGGACATTTCATGAACTAGATGCTGTCACCCACCAGCAAGTAGCACCTCATATTACTAAAGTCTCAAATGCATTTACACAGCCAATCATCCCCTCCTCCTCCACAGCTACAGTTTTTGCTCTGCACTTTCCTGCCTGGTTTTTAAGGCAAAACTCGAGCTTTTGCAGTTGCCTTACTAAATCTTAAGAATGGAAACTTAGGGTTGCTACCCTAAGCCTTATTCTGCAACCAGCCTGAAATGGTAAGGTGGTGGCCAGGATCTTAGAAGCGAACAGCAATTTAGTTTTCACAATCCATGCTTTAACCTGGGGAAACAGCAGCATCAATCCAGAAGCCCTCAGTTCAAATTACACTACATTTTGAAAGGTGCACATTATAAAACACAGCTAAAAATCTCAAATAAAGCCAACTAAAATGAATGATGAATGAATGGAGAAGAGGGGAGACTACTAACCCCAAGCATTCAAAAAATGAGTCAGTTTTGAGGAACAAGTTGTTTTTTTTTGTTCAAACCTCTACAGTAAGCTGAGTTCATGTTCTCCAGGTATTTACCATCCCTTAAGGCACCCAAGACTTAAGGCAGAGCTACAAAAGTAGCCAGAGTTGCCAGCTACTAAAGAAGCCAGCACACGGAACTGCAAGAGCTTGGGTAAAGGACACGTCAGCCGTCTGAAACCTGTCATCCCCTCATGAAAAACGCAGAGCAAGGAGACAGTTTCTCCCTCCCACAGAGATGGGAGCCCTCCTCTCCACCCACTCTTCTCTATGGCTTGTACTGAGAAGTGATTAGTCATAGCAGGACACAGATGTGTTCATGCCTGGATGATGAAACTCAGAGGATAACAAGAACATGTTCTTCTCTACAGGCCAGGAGACAACCACTTGTTTTCCTTGCAAGTCAGATTTTGTAACTCCTTTGTGATGTGGAGAACAAGAGTCACTTTTATTCAGCCTTATTCAGCACACTGGGGAAACACATTGGTTTTACTTCCCTCAGTGCAGAAGCTTCTTACTCTTCCACCAAGTTTGCCTTCTGTCCAGGCTTCTATTTCCTCACAGGATATCAAATGCCACATATACCGCAGGCTTCCAGAGAGCTGTTGGCCATGAGATTTATGGAAGACTAACAAGAATGAGGACCAAGGGTTGTGGACACAGATGAAGCTGATGCAGAAAGGCAATTAGTGCATGGCAGGGGTGTATACATGGCAAAGAAGAAGCCCTCACAGTGAGGTTTGGCCCCTTGAAAGATGTAACATTGCAGTAATACATCATCTTAATTTGAATGAACTGGTCTGAATATATGTTTGGTTATGACTGTCCCCTAAAAATGCTGTCCTTACATTGAGAAGACATGCACAACACAGTGGTAAGAAGTGGAGTACTCCCTGCATTTGGCAACACCTAGCACATAGGAAGGATGGGCAAAAACATGATGAGCTTTTCTGGGGGTGCAGTTACTGACCTCATTCAGGTCTTCATGCTCAAATAGTGAGAACACACAGACATCTGCTGAGCCTTACAGATTTCTAATCTAGAACACCCTGACTCAACAGGGTACTGTATAAAATCAACTTTTCCAAGGCCAAACTTGATAGATTCAAAATACCAATGTAGTAGCAAATTTAAAGAACAAAACAAAAACCCCCAAGACTCCACAAACAACCAAACCAAAAACCTCTTAAGCAGTGGCACTCCCCTACTGATTGCACAACTTGGAAATGTCTTTGAAATCCAATTGATGATCAAGTGATCAAGTTTTTTCAGTGTTCTGTCGTTTTCATCCTGCCGGAAGACAAACCATAGCACAAGAAATTCCTGCAGCATCGCAGCTGTGCTAGCTCTCAATAAGTTGTTTACCTCACAGGAAAGAAATTAGGACCAGTATTATAAACTTTCACAGTTCCAATATTATTCTAGTTTAAGGAGATTAAGACCTTAAATGAAGCCTCCTGACGTGTTATAGGTCAAACTAGAGACTTCTCCTCTCCTCCTCCCCACTTTACTTGTGGCTTTGTATGGATCTCTCCTCTACTCCTTAAAGATCAGCAAAAGTCATTACCATGTGCAGCAGCTTCAGCAATCAGTGTCAGGACCTATACACATTTTTCCCCTCTCAGACTATTACTGTGCTCAAGATCACAATGATCATGAAACTGGCAACAAGATATTTACTTTGATCAAGGTGTTTATTGCATCTCAGAGGGCACACATGCACTGGGTTTTTTTGTTTTTGTTTTTTTCTTTTTAACTGAAATACAAAGAAAAGCCATTTTGAAATTAGTTTTTTTTATAGAACTTTCCCATTACGGTGTATGTTATCCCCACAGCAAATTCAGATACAACCACTTTTAATGGTACCATACATTGATTAAATAGTTCATTTGAAAGACTTTAGGTGAATATCTTTCCAACCCAATATGCTTTTACAGAGAACTGCCAAGCCACTTGTAACACTGATCAACAGTGACCTCATTGAAGAGTCAAGATCTTACGCCAAGCCATCAACAGAAACAGTATGAGAACAAATAAAAATTAAAGAAATACAATATGTACAGTAAAGGGCATGGATCTCTGGATCAGAATTAAATCTAATCACCAATAGTACAAAAGCTACTCACAGCGCATTCGGGGCAATGGAGAAAACACTAGCCTAAGGCATACACAGGTAAGCACTAAATTAAGAGATGTACATAAGAACTGAACAGAGATGAGTAACATCACTTGTAATGTTCTGACTACAGATATACCAAAGAGTGCTCTTGTATTTGAAATCCCTTGATGTCAGCACAACTATGGTTGCTTTTTTCAACTACATTGAGAGAAACTGACCCTTTACTTATTTTCAGTGCATTTAGCAAGAATCGATAGATATGCCAATTTTAAATGCAAAAACTTAAATAATTAAAATAGATTTTAAAATAAAAACAGTAATAAATATGGTATTTTTTTAGATATGATTTTTCATTCTTGGTAAGTCATCAAAAAAGTATTTGTTATGGAAGTTTACCTTTATATTACTTTAAGTTATCTTAACATATACAGTGCCACAAAAATAAAACATTTTTTCACAACAATTGAGACTCCTGTGACTGAAGGAAAAAAAAAAAAAAGTATTCCACACAATTTCGTAAATATTTTCCTTACTATCTGGTATTACCACACTATGTTTCATAACAGATAAAGGAGAAATTGAGTCCTAGGGAAATTTTAGGTGTCCTCAAAAAGTTATATACATTGAAACCTTCAAAAACCACAGACATCGCTCCAAATGGCTCACCAAACAACAGCTGCATAATCTGCCCCCATGGGATAGGTTCAGAAAAGCACTAGAAGGCATCAGAAACATACATCCATTGTTTAAATTGTAAAACACAAATAACCCAAGTACACAAATTTCGAGAGAGTAGGGATAACAGCTAAGGTAGTACACATTCCTAATGTTCACTTTCACGGCTGTGCTACACGTTTCAGGAGGAAGAGAAAGTCTGAGTAAGCGCTGGGTTTGGTACTGGTGGCTCACTTTGAAACTCTGAGCATCCATTTGTAGACTCCAAACTCACATTTTTATCATCCAGTCAGAAAAACTGCAGCTGTGAACATATAAAAGTATTAGATGAGAATCAGAATAGTGAGTTAGATAAAGCACATTCTAGAAAGAACACCAAATCTGCTCATTACCTCACACCTCAAAGGAGTCATTATCAGTTTTAAATGAAGCAGCAGTCTTCCCACAGACAGTTACGAATCTACCTGCTACGAACCCAAGTTGAAAGCAGCAAGTCTCAGCAATGAAGGTGCATCTCCACTCCTGGCCATCTCCACTAAGTGCCAGGTACACACCTCCCCAGGGTTGGAATTTGGAGGAGGGTGAAGTGGGACCAGGTGGTGCCTAGTAAGAGCAGCTGGATCCCATCCACTGCTGCTAACTCCAGGACAAAGGGGGTTTAGAATAAGTCTTAGAATTAAGCTATAGGAAGAAAGAAAAGGGACTTAAGAAGAAAGCTTTAAAGATATGTAAAGATTGTCCTCTCCTCACCTGGCAAATTATTCCAGTCTTAATTATAAAATGCCTATCTTACTTCTGCATTATTACTTTTTAATTAACTTAAGTGTTCATTTCAATTTGATGTTTCTATTTGGCCCTCTTCACATCCTTTTCCAAAACCCTCACAGTAATGTTTTTGCCTTTTTATTCTGCAGTAGTGGTTTTTTGTTGCTTCTCCATTTTTAATTTTTATTTACTCCTCTGTTCTTCCCCACTGTTGTTCTACACAGCACTGCTGAGGACCTCATGCTTTAAGATTCAGAAAAGTAGTGCCCTGAAAAATGGTATGGTGGGGGAGAACATTAGCTGCCATCAGTTAAGAGAGGCAAACAACCTTCCCTTGATGATCAGGACACATGAGTTTTTCCTCTTTCAGTCCCTTCACACCTACGATACCAAATCTGTTTCCACACCCACAAGACTGGAACAAGCCTCTTCAGCACCGTTTTTCCCCCACTATTTGTACCTCGTTATGATTCTATTTGTTTCAGTATTAATTTCAGGGAAAAAAAAAAGTAAACATGAACCCTTGGATTGGATGGAAACAAGACAAAAATGGAAGTTATACATTGAAGATAATTTTTCCTGGCAGCCACTTTTGGGAAAAAAAAAGAAAAAAAAGTTAAACACAAACCCTTGGATTGGATGGAAACAAGACAAAAATGGAAGTTATACATTGAAGATAATTTTTCCTGGTGGCCACTTTTGGGAAAAAAAAAAGAAAAAAAAAAGTAGCCAACAGTCAAGCTTTCAGGCTAAAATTAAGAGTGTGGACAGAGAATTCAGTTTTCTGTTTAAGCCACCACATAATCAGTGCATATTTCTAGCTATCTCTGCAGCTACAATTTTATCAGTTGCATTCAATCCACTGGCCTAATCACCATCTGTGTGCCAGACACATACCACAGCTAACATGCTTAGGCAGGCAGTCACAGAATACCTTATGTTTACAAGAAATCCTTGATGTTAAGATCCGCTAATGGGTCCTTTGTTGGAGGTTTCTTGGGACTCTGAGTAGCAGGAGTTGGGCTTGGAGAAAGCTAACAGACACCAGCCAGGAAGGCAGGAAAAAAAACAAAGCAGACAAGGATACACAAGCATTAGGTAGATATAGCTGGTTCTCACACGAGCACATGGCAAGCATACAAAGTTCTCATTTTTCTGCAAGTTTGGTGTGTTGCTGTTTTGCTCAAGCATTGTTTAGACTCTATTCTTACTACAGGGTTAACAACGTTTGGCTAATTTAATGGATAAGGCTATAGACACTGCATATTCTAATTAGCATAGCTTCAGATCACTCTCTCCCTGTAAGACAGAATGGTGTTAGGATCATCAACCCAGAGAGAAATTAAGCATTTGTTAGGTGTTAAACACCAAGGTGCAGAAGAAGCAAAGCGCATGCTGTAAAGTATGTCTGAAAATCCCAGCGACTGGCATTGAAGTACAAGTTGTTCAACATCGGTAATGTAAATGAGAGTCCAAAGTGTATTGGAGACGTGACTATTTTATACTCAGTTCCTCCTCTGCTAGGTATAAAAATCATCACTCATTCCACAGAAAATGTCAGTTTTCCAAGTTCCATGCAATTATTCCCACTAGGAAGCCAAACAGTTTTCCCATGGTGTCCTTACTCCTCCCCATCTACCTTACTCAGGGCACTAGAGGTATTTTACATGTAGCCCTGGCACCTTGATGACTACCCTTCTCCACGAAAAAAACTGTCTTCCATACTACTCTTGATAATATAAGTGCAGAGACAGTTTAAGGCAGGAGGAAAAGCAAGACCAAGTAGCTATATATGAAATGCAGAGCTCTAACACCTACAACCTACCTTCCCACTTAGAACAGTTGCAATTTCTTCCCATTTCTACAAAGAAAATCCAAATTTCAACTGGAATGTGGTTCCCTACTTAAAAAGTGAGGTTTGCTACAGGTTGATTGCCTAATATTCACAAAAAATAAAAAAAAAAAATTGCAAAAAAGGGAGGTGGCTTGGTTTTAAGTGTTACAAGTCAGATTTTAGAGTCATAGCATCAACTTTCATCTCCCACCCTTTTTGAAAGACAAGATGGACTTCTAACTTAAAGAAGCTACCACAGCTAATGCCTCTGAAAGGGCTCTTGTCTCTTCAGAGTTACTACAAACCAAACTCTACTTTGAAAAAAATAGCATGGAACAGGTATTATGGCTTATGTTGCATCACCTAGTGGCTATGAGTTAAAAGCTTTGCATCAGAGTGGGTACACAGTGCTGCACTTCCAAACTCACTAGAGCTACAAGTTAAAAAGAATCCTTAGGAAACTATGAGGAGCAGCTGATAGCACCCGGTTCAACAGGAAGAATGCCACTGGCATGTCTCCATTCACTCAACCTACTTCATCACTAATTACTCCATTAGCTTTTTTTCATCATATTAAAGAAAGGACTCATCTCCCTGGCAACAAGTAACTTGTGATACAATGTTTCCTGGTTATTTTTAATTAGTATAGAATTAAGAATAGGTTTGCTTTGGTTTTAGGTGGCCAAACTTGTGTCCTCTTTAGGTCTAAATATATGATTATCACAAAGTCACACTAGGTAAATATAGTTTAAAAACATGAAAAAAAGAAGTAGTGTCACATATCTCCCACTTACAAAAGAATACAGAGTGACTGAAGATGAAGATTATTCATTTGCATTCCTCCACCTTAACGTAAGTTAGAAGAAAAACTTCACAGTATTTAAATCTGGGCATTGCTGTGAGAAGCATGCACTCTGAGCACTCCAATGTTCCATACACTATGGTAATTCATACTTGAATTAAGCTGTTTTGCACCAAAAGAACCCAGCAAACTATCAGCCTGAAACCGATAAAGTTGTATTTACTGCAAAACATCTGTCACCCAAGAACTGCAGACTGTAGCTTGTTCATAAGCAGAAGGTCAATTTTCTGAGGAATCTCTTGGTGGGCTGGGAGGAAAGATGCTGAGT